ATTATCTGATTTTTCTTTTAATTTTAATTTTTTTAAATATGAAAAAGTGTGAATTTACCATATTATCCTTATTTAATTAATAATTTCAATTCTTAATGTTTGCATTAACCAAGGGCATTTTCTGGTATTTTGAATGTTTCACCATTCTCTGCCTTTTGCTTTATATATATAGATAACTTGAGTATAGAGATGAATTGTTATTGGTGTTTTTGTGGAACATTTAACTTTGAGTCTCTCAGACACCCTGCAATATTCATGGTTCTTTCAGATAAAGAGTTAAGAAATTTCAGCCTATTTTCCATGCATTATGAATCTCCTTCAGCAAATAGTACCTCGTTTGTTTAATGATCACAACCAATATAGAATGTGGGAAGACTAAGCTTTTTTGTTAAACAGTGATCTCACTCGTAACTACATCAATGGATCAATCCCTGCAAGCCTTTCTCGTGCTCCTCTTCGCATTCTGTAAGTGATTAATATGCCTTCATATCACTGAGGAACTTAATTGATCGCCATGTGTTTTCTTTAATATCTGTCAGGCCTATTAGCATGTAACTATTGGTATGCTGCAGGTCTCTTTTGGGAAATCGACTCAGTGGTTCAATTCCTACGGCAATTGGTGACTTTACTATGCTCAGAGAGCTGTAAGTCTTGCACTGATGTCCTATTTCTAAATGATAAAAAGAGAAGGAATATGCATGCATAACCGGCATTGCCAAATTCCATTTTTCAGGGTGTTGGAAGATAATCAGTTTGACGGGCCTCTTCCTCAAAGTCTCGGGAAGTTGACTGACTTGGAAAGACTGTAAGACTGCCTTTCTATTCCTCATTCAAATCTTTCATTTATGTCTGCAACCACTGCAACCAATTGAGGAAGCTTTTGTTGATCAATCAGAAATTTCCTGCCAGACTTTATTCTTGATGTCATTGTTTTTCATTTAACTAAGTTTCTTTTCATCTGTTTCATCTGTTTCAAGAGTAAAATGCATTTATGCATTAGATGGTTCATTTTCTTGGCTCCCTAGTGTTAGCTTTTCGACAAGTCAGTTTTGATTCTAAGTGACCTTTTCTGATCCACTGAAAAAGAGTTTGCATTCTATATATTGGAATTTTATTCACGCAACTTATATGTATGATTGATATCAGCACCTTGTTATGTATAGAATACCTGAGATTTTTTTGTCAACCTGGTTTGAGGTAAATGTAACCTACTCCTTATTTCTACAGCCTTCTTTCTGCGAACAACTTTACAGGGACAATACCAGAATCATTGGGAAATCTAAAGAAATTAGTTGATTTGTAAGTGATGCAACATGACCCAATTGTTTGTATGTCTAGTATTTTTGAACAGAGAATTTCTCATCTTCTTTTACTGCCTGCAGTAGGATAGATGGGAGCCGAATATCAGGGAAGATACCTAGTTTTATTGGCAACTGGACGAATCTTGATAGACTGTGAGTGCTGCTCTTCATTATTTTCATCTCCCATCTTTTACTCCTTTAAATCAAGTTTTTGAATGTTGGTTAATGTTTAACAATAAATTTAAATCTGTTGCAGTGATATGCAAGGCACATCCATGGAAGGCCCCATTCCTTCCACCCTCTCTTTGTTGAAAAACTTAACTGAATTGTAAGAGCACGCTCCTCTATCTGGTAATTACAACGAAACAATTAAGTATTTCTGACGTTTCTTTTGTATCAGGAGGATTTCTGATTTGAATGGATCAAGTATGCCTTTTCCTAATTTGACAGATACGAAAAATTTGGAAGTAGTGTGAGTTCAAAATCACATAACCCTATCGAAACTGCAATTCTGTCTAGTTATTAATGCAATTCTGCTAATTCTTGGTTGCATCTCTGTGGCTCAGGACTCTGAGAAATTGCTCAATTAGTGGTCTAATCCCAGATTACATTGGCGATCTGACAAAATTGACAACATTGTGAGTGCTTAGCTTAAATTTACTATCGTCACTGAACCAAAATGAAATTTACAGGTCTTGTTACATTAGCTATCAGTTATTGTTACAAAACTTTCAGTTTTTTCAAAACCTTGTTCACAAAATGGAGTAGATTCATGTTATATTTTGATTCTAATTATGTTTTGCAACCCATCAAGACAAATATCTGATATATGATACTTCTTTCTCTCTTGTAGAGACCTGAGCTTTAACAAGTTGACTGGCGAAATTCCAGAGAACATTCAGGGTGTTGATAGTCTAGATTACATGTAAGTCAATTAAATAAAGCAAGCATTAGTTTAGTTGTGCAAATGCTTTGCATTTTATTTATTCCTTGAATTAGCTATTATCTGCATCTTTCATTTACTGTAAGTTTTATGGATGCAGGTTTTTGACCAACAACTTACTGACCGGACAAGTGCCAAATTGGATAATTAACAACAAAAATAACCTGTTAGTCTATTACTCTATTACTAATCTATGAAGTTTTGCTCATCTGTGTTTATTTCTTTACGCACAAAATGCTTTACTGGTTTAACTGGACAATTACTGCGACCAACTTTAACTTTATCTGTTTATCAATATTTTGAATTTAGAGTTGTCATCAATGCCATAAAATTTCTGTTGCAGGGATTTGTCTTACAACAATTTTACTGGATCACCTTCTGTTAGTTGCCCACAGTTAAATGTGTAAGCTTTTTAATATCCAAAGCTTTTCCTAATAGAGAATACACATGCATGCCTATGCAAAAGCACCCACAAACTCAAGTAAATTCCTCCTACATTACTCGCTAAATTCTCTGTACTTATCATATGCTCCTTGTTTGTCCTATTTTCTCTATTAATTCCCTTGATTATTAAACAGGAATTTAGTTTCTAGTTATTCGTCTCCACAACAATCGTAAGTTTACTAAAACTTATAATTATTTTTTCATCAAACTTCATAAAATACATGTATGACTGAGCCTTAATCCTTTCAACAAATAGATGGTGCTTGGAGAAGGACCTCCCTTGCCCCTCAAAACCCCGACGTAAGTTTTGATTCATATGAGATTTTGCTTTCATGAATATGCAACAGCTTTTGAGTGGACGTGATAGGTGTCATGTCTAAATTTCTAATACAATTCCCATAACACCTGCAGACCATTCTTTGTTTATCAATTGTGGAGGGGGAAGGATGGAGTTTGAGGGCAATGAATATGAAGAGGACTTAACCACTGTGGGGACATCACACTTCGTTTCATCATCTGATAAGTGGGGTTATAGCAGTACGGGGGTTTACATGGGCAAGTCTAAGGCAGATTACATAGCAAGAAACACATCGTCTCTGAATATGAATGGTCCAGAGTTTTATCAAACAGCCCGCCTTGCCCCTCTCTCACTCAAATACTATGGCCTTTGCATGATAAAGGGCAGTTACAAAGTAAAGCTCCACTTTTCTGAAATAATGTATTCTGATAGCGAGACATTCAGCAGCCTTGGGAAGCGCATATTTGATGTCTCAATTCAAGTGAGTAAAAGTGGGTTTGTATTATTGACAAATTTTCATTTATGATTGGTAATCTTTTATTTTTTCTTTACAAGATTTTGTTTGGCTATATGGTAAATTTGGTTGAAGCTAGTAAAGTTGTAATTTGCTTTTTGCGCAGGGGAATTTGGTTTTGAAGGATTTCAATATTATGGAGGAAGCAGGAGGCGTTGGTAAAGGCATCGTCAGAGAATATGATGTTCTTGTTAACGGTAGCACTCTAGAGATCCACTTATACTGGGCAGGAAAAGGAACTACTGCCATTCCTGACAGAGGTGTCTATGGACCTCTTATATCTGCAATTACTGTGACACCAAGTAAGCTTCACCTCTGTTCTAGGATTTCTGCTTTTTCTTTCTACTTGCGTGCATCTTAACTTCATTAAAACTTTTACTTTCTTTTCAGATTTTAAGGTTGATACTGGGGGGCTATCTGCTGGTGCTATTGCTGGCATTGTAGTAGCGTCATGTGTGTCCCTTGTATTGGTTTTGGTAGTCCTCCGACTGAGTGGTTTTTTAGGGGGAAAAGATGAGGATAAAGGTAAGGATAATCTCTGCATATAAAGTTGCTCTTTGCCGCACCAATTCTTGCAAGTAGGGGGTGTATAGCGAAGCACAGTGAATTGTATTCTGCATGATCCTCAACATCACAATAGGAGACAAAATGAGCTAGTTTTCTTTCTCTTGTTTTCACTATGTCTCATTGTATGGTAAATATCTAAAATCCTTCCTTGTGGCAGAACTGCGTCGTGGGCTAGAACTACAAACAGGTTATTTCACTTTACGACAAATTAAAGCTGCCACTGGTAACTTTGATCCTTCAAATAAGATAGGTGAAGGAGGTTTTGGGCCTGTTTACAAGGTAATGATTACTACGACAATATTTATTTTCCCACATGTGAATTTGGCACTAATTCACTGCACAAATGTGAAATAATTGATGATTAGTGAAATAAATATTCTTTATATAGATGTGATTCTGAAATAACCTTGCTCGATTCTCAGGGTGTTCTGGCAGATGGTGCTGTCATTGCTGTTAAGCAGCTCTCCTCCAAATCAAAGCAAGGGAACCGTGAGTTTGTTAATGAGATAGGCATGATATCTGCTTTGCAGCACCCAAATCTCGTGAAGCTTTTTGGTTGCTGTATTGAAGGAAACCAGTTGTTGCTTATATATGAATACATGGAAAACAATAGTCTTGCCCGTGCCCTTTTTGGTAAATACTTGCAACATCTTCAGCAGAATGTCATAAATTTGGAATAAGTCTTGTATCTTATTTCTCCCTCTCTCTCCCCAAAACATTTGTAGGTCGTGACGAACAACGGCTAAATTTGGACTGGAAAACTAGAAAGAAGATATGCTTGGGGATAGCAAGGGGATTAGCTTATCTTCATGAAGAATCAAGGTTGAAAATTGTTCATAGGGATATAAAGGCAACCAATGTGCTGCTTGATAAGGATCTAAATGCAAAGATATCTGACTTCGGTTTAGCTAAGCTAGATGAAGAAGAGAACACGCATATCAGCACACGAATAGCTGGAACAATGTGAGCATTCTCTCTCGCATATTTTAGCTTCACTAAGATGTATTAATATGCCAACTGAATTTTTTTGGACTAGAGCTTGTTTATCGGACAATGATAATAAGAAATGCATATAGAGAGCTGGGATATGGAAACATGTATCTGTTATGACTATTCTGAGTCAGATTTGCGAAGATACAGTATATGGTTTGAACCCCTGAATTAAGCAGATTGCTGTATAATGTTAGTGTTAATGAGCTGCAGGTTCATGAATACAGCATGGCTAATGAATTGAAAGATATCTTGATACTTTCATTTAGAAATTTCTTATATGCTTCTCTTAGCCTTTGTTTGGTAATGATTAATGGCACCATACTCACTGATCCGGAGCTATCTGCTATTTTTTGCAGAGGCTATATGGCTCCTGAATACGCAATGAGAGGTTACTTGACAGACAAAGCAGATGTTTACAGCTTTGGTATTGTTGCCTTAGAAATTGTCAGCGGAAAGAGCAACACAAATTACAGGCCAAAGGAGGAGTTCGTGTATCTTCTTGATGGGGTAAGCTTTATCCATTATATTCTGTGATCTTTTGAAGATTAAGCATTCACAATTTCTTCAGTATGAACAAAAATTTTGCGTTCTAAGTGATTAAATATTTTTTTAAATGGTTTTCAGTAGAGACCTTCAAAATTTTTGTGTTCTATGTACATGTTAGCTTTGCAATTTTCACTTGGAATAGTTCAAGAGGTGGTAAATGTCTTTGTTTCTCTACATGTAATTCAAGGCCTATGTCCTACAAGAGCAAGGAAACATGCTAGAACTCGTGGATCCAAGTCTTGGTTCAAACTACTCTAAAGAGGAGGCCATGACAATGCTTAACTTGGCGCTCTTATGCTGCAACCCATCTCCAACTCTCAGACCACCCATGTCTTCTGTAGTAAGTATGCTCGAAGGCAAAAGTCCAGTTCAAGCACCAACAATCAAGCGCGGTTCAGCCGAACAGGATGCAAAGTTCAAAGCCTTTGAGAGGCTATCACAAGACAGCCAAACACACGTTTCCACATTCTCTCAAGATAGTCATGTACGAGGCGCATCAATGGAGGGTCCATGGGTTGATTCCTCGGTTTCTCTTGCGAGTAAGGAAGAGACCATGGAACATTCTTCGTCAACCAAGCTACTTCAGGATATGTATGATGTCAATTTACAGTGATGAAAAGCTGATGAAATAAAGGTTTTCAAATTCTTTTGCTCAATTGAATTTAGTCCAGAGATTTTTTTAAAAAGGGGTTAGTGGAAAATTTGTACTAGGAGAGTAGGAGACATGTTTCTAAAAATATTGAACAAGAGTTAATGTGTAAATTATGTTCCTCCAACTGTACCCACATTTATAGTCTTTTTGTTTCTGCAAGTCTTTAAGACTTTGCCTCATATGATCAAAGTTCATATATATATATTCGTGAAAGCTGAGGCAGCTGTGTATTTTAGATTTTCTTTCTCCGAATGGGTGCATGTTGCTTCACAAATACAGCCACAAAAGTTACACCCTAGATGAGATATTTTAACATGAAAGCATTGAGGTGATGATGAGTGGAGAAATTGATTGAGGAAGGTGAGATGAGAAGGCAGCTATGGTTGTTGATGTTTACCTCAATTTCCTTCTCCATTTTTGAACAACTCACTTGTAGAAAGCAATATACAAAAAAGTAAAGTCTTTTTGTTTTTGTAAGTCTAAAATATCAACAAATTTAACACTTTACAGCAGTTTGAGATCCAAGATTTGCTTTGGTGTATGTTCCATTACTCCAATCAAATCGGTGAAAAATAAAAGGGTTCATAGGTTTAATGGTCCCTGAACTTTGACTCGATTCACATTTTAGTCCCTCAATTTCCAAAATTGTTCATGTGGTCCTTCAACTTCAGTTTCGTTAGGACAAATGGTCCTGCCGTCAATTTTGTTATATTTTCTGTTAAATGCAGGGGCAAAATGGTATTTTTGTATTATTTTTAATTTCCACCTTTTGAATATTCCTTTCACCCAAAAAATAAAAAATAAAAATATATGAACATGGAGAAGAAAGGAGTTTTAGTTTGGATTCGAGCGACAACAATGCAATTGAAGAAAGAAGATATGAAGCTAAAAGTCCTTTGCCAGAAAATGAAAGGGTATGCAGAAAATCTGGTAATCCATTTCCTTCGCTTCACACAAATGAAAGGGTATGCAATGCAAAGATTTTGCTGACTCTCCATTGGGGCTATAATCCATTTCCTTTGAACATTTTGGCCTTCATTGTGGTGTTTCTGATGAAAATCATACGATTTCAACTTAGTCTAATGGTCAGCCTCTTCACTTTTCCAATTCGGTTATCCTATTTTTCCTTCATGCTCTTGTTGTTTCCATTTCAAACTCTTGAGGCTCATTAGAGGGTATTTGATGAAAAAAACTGCTGAGAATGTGGAGTGTCACATCTACAAATGTCATTTTAGCTGTATCTGAGCGCTTGCAAGCCCAAAAGTCACTTGCAGTGAATGTAGGTTTGGCCTTCTTCAGGTCAATCCATGTTTGTTCCATGTTTTTTGGAATTCTGGCATCTGGGTTTTTACTGAGTGGATTTGTTATGAAACACCTAGCACCTAGTTCAGAACCCAATTCAGACCACAGAGATCCTGAACTTTGATTACACCAAATCAAGTCCAGTATCTTTTGTTCCCCTCATGTCATCTTCTGGTGCTTGTGGTGACCGTGTTATACCTTATAATCACAAACTGCAGCTTGCTGTTTCATTGACCATGCCTGAATCGGAATACAGTCACAAACTAGGTGTCTTTCAGGTATGATATTTGATCAACCTTGAGCTTCTGTTAAAATCTATGTAGCCAATATTGCAATGCTTATGTCTCATTTTTTATAACCTAATTGCAAATGCATTATTATGACTTTACCATTTCTTGTGCATCAAGGTAAGGGTAAAATTCTTGTCAGCAAATGGCATTGTCACTGCTAGTTCAAGCTATCCCTGCATGCTGCGATTCAAAAGTGGACCAATTCGTGTCATTGAAACCTTTCTTAGAAGTGCTCCTCTTATTGCTGGTTTACAATCAGAAACCCAAGTTCTGGACATAAAAATGAGTGATCACATCACATTGAAGGACCTGAGCCAACTGCCTGCTTGAAGGTGACACTAGAACAAAGAGCAGAGTTCCAATCTGTTGCCGGCATACCTCAAATATATGCTGGATCATTAGTGCTTCAATCTGAGCTTCCTCAGCTGAGAAGGTTTGTATGGTGTTGGAGGAGAACAATATTTGTGTGGACAAGTATTATGTCATTCTTGACAGAGTTGGTGTTTATCCTAGCCTTTTTTTGACCTATAATTGTCCCGAGGGGAGGACCCAAAATTGGTTACAGCATTTAAAAAGTTAATCACTCTGGCACAAAAGCAGCTTAGTGTTTCCATGGAAGATTACGAGGATATAGCAGCTAAGTGTTTCTAAATCTGCACCATTAATTACAATGGAAATGCAAGCATGAATTAGAGTTTTCTGAATTCTGTCTCATTTTTTTATTTTGTCATAAATTTTTTGAATGAAATTAATCATTTAATCTTCTCTTTTTCGAACTTCTAAAGACAACGATAACCGTGCCCAACCCAGGATGCTGACTTGGGAATTACTTTGCGAAAAAGAAAATAACACTAAAAATATATGAAATTCCATCAAACATTATTAGGAAATGGAAAACTCGAACTCAAGAGTTCAAATGTAGTGAGTAAATAGTTCCTAACTCGAACTCAGATTAATTATCTTGCAATTTAACGAATACTTCAGTTCATTACTTTACTGAATATTTCAATTCATCTTTCTGGTACGAAGGCATATTTAAACACACCCATAATGAAAAGAATTTTTTCGTTAGACGGCCAGAATTTAAAATTTGTAAAATTTACATGCAAATAAAAAATTACACAGCAAAAATTACAAAAGAAAGTAAGCAGCTGGTCAAAAAAGAAAGAAAAAAAATAAGCGCTCCCACATACAGGAAAAACAGGGAACATTTGTATAATTAGCAGAACATTCACATATTCACATGTGGTATTGTATTTCAGAGCTTGAGACTATATACACTTGCATTTGCAGACTATGGAGCCAAAACAATCAAAACTCAAGGACATTGTTTAACTGAACAGAGAAGGAAGGTCGATCGACATTGGTAAGCGGGGAATCCACTCTAAAAACTAGCCCCGAGTTCCCAACATTTCCATTCCACTTGGATCTGCCAACCTGAACATGCCAGACCACATAAAGAAGACAGTAAGAAACAAAAAATCCAAGAACCTCCTAATAACTTTTGTTTTTTACTTAGAAATCATGAAAAGAAAAAAATTTCTTTGAGATGTTTACATGAAAATAAAAACTTCAGTCTAGCAAAGGCCACAAAGCTTGTTCTAGATATTGTGACAAATGAGCCCAGAGACCTATAGGTAAAGGCTGAAAATTATAAAATATTCACTGGTGGCAGTAATAACTTACAGATATTGAAGCAAACGCAGAAGGATGTGGTGTGAATGCACAACCACATATCAGGTTGAGCTCCTCCTTCACTGAGTGAATGAGTTCTGCCCGCAAACCAGGATTGCTTCCACCAAAAGTGGGGCATAAACTGACCATTGTAAAATTTCATGAAACATGTCAACACCAAGTATGATGACTGTTGAAGCACAAGTGAAGACGCAGGAAGGATGTGCATGCACTACTTGACCCAGTTACAAGATGCCAATACAATTGATGTGCACAAGCTTAACAGGGGTGTAAGAAAGTAATTTACAACATACTGATTTAAAATATTCACACATTGCATTAAAAGTGCAAAAGGGGCCTTAAAATATTATGGGGTAAAAGAATTGTGCTCACTAAACAATTTGACTTTGGAGAGACTGCTGAATACCAATTTAACCTCATCTATTCCTCCAATGCTGAACACGCCCATGTCAAAAATCCCAAAATTTCAATCCATTTCCTACAGTATGTAGACATGCAACATACGCATATATCACCTGTGTAATCTATGAAATATCACTAAATTACTCTCGTTAGCCCCAATTCAACTTGAGAATATGCTTTGGCCCAACCAACCCACCCATAAAATCATAGAACAAAAGGAAAACTCCTCCTAGGACCAATCAGTGGCCTCAAAGACCGACTCCTCCAGACCTCCTTACCCTCTTAAGGAAAAGATATTACGTTTGTGTTTTTCTTTTTTGTTTTCTCTTTTTTTTCGGTGCAGCTTTTTATTTGTGAGACAAAGTGTGCAGAGACCAGAAGCAAATAGTAATACCATGTTAACATTATATTAAAATGAGATTCAGAACATTAACAGTTACATTCATTTCACTGCATTGTTAAACATTTTAGAGACAAGTATTAACAACCAATAATGGGAAGACAATAATGTACAGCTTTACTAATAGAGAGACAGCTAAAAAACCTGACCTGAACTGAATTGTAGGCCTCACCATGAGACCAGATCTCTGCCAAGCCAAGGCTTGTGAAAGACCCACTGTAAAAGATTTGTCTGGCCATTGTATCATTGGGGTGATGCGTGTTCCCCACTTATTCTGAGAAACATTTAAACGATCTTAATTCTTTTGAAGCAAGAAGACTAACTAATGAGAATAATAGTGTGCATAAGACCATTCTGGTATAACTTGAGAACACTACTACAATTATTTGTTAAAGCAGGTTACTAGTTTACAATCTAACCTTGCGAGAGAAACTGAATCTCATTTCTCCAGGATATTGACCTTGAGCTTGTAGAAGGCCTCCACACAGAGGTAAGAAAGCACTTGTAGTAAGCCCTTCACCAGATACATATGTAAATTGCCCGTTTGGAAACTGTAAATCAACAAATGACTGCACAGAGAGAGAGAGAGAGAGAGAGCGTATGAGAATCAACCCCAAAAACCTAATAATAGTGCTGACACTGAAAAACAAATATAAGAAGACACAGAAATCAACTTACACAGGCTAATGGATTCAGGCAGACCATTGACATTAAGAGCCACCTTCTGTGTTTTGACCACACGGCCGGGCAAAGAGAATGCATCCCATTCTAAAAATTAAAACAAATGTGCATATGAGAACACAGTGAGGAAAGAATCAAGCTGCTATACATGATGAAATCAACTTACACAGGCTAATGGATTCAGGCAGACCATTGACATTAAGAGCCACCTTCTGTGTTTTGACCACACGGCCGGACAAAGAGAATGCATCCCATTCTAAAAATTAAAACAAATGTGCATATGAGAACACAGTGAGGAAAGAATCAAGCTGCTATACATGATAGACCTACCATGACAACAACACTAAGGATCACAAAAGCAGTGAAAAAATCACCAAAATAAATTATAAAAAGCATCCGAAGGATAAGAAATCATCAACAGAATGGAACTAGTAGCTAAGGATGATCGACTTTAATGTACTATTTGAAAGACCAAATTGTCTTAAATTTTTGGAAATATTAAGTGCTGCCAAGGATTGATGCAGCCGTTTTATTAGGGTGAATTGTCATTTTATTGGGGAAAATAAGCACAAGGCATTAGATGTTGCATTTTTATACCTTTTGTACTTCCCTTGGTTCGAGTATAAGTGTCATACTTTCTAATAAACTAAACATTCCTTAATGTTGAGGAGCAAACAATTAAGAAGTCACTTTGTGTGCTCTTCTAGGAGACTACCAGATTCAATCCTCTCTATTGTAGAACCAATCTGGCAGGTTGGAGAGTAATGGCTGGGCTTTTGAAGGAACTAAAAGTTCTCTTAAGGATTTGATTGGCAATTGTTGAGAACCAGTTTGATTAGTCCCACCACATAGTCCATGCAATTTGTTTCTCTCTCTTGTAGACTTTTTTATTGACTTACATGGTTTTTCTCTTCTACAGTACTTCTGGTGCATTTGGATGCTGTCCCTCTGGTCCCTTCTAATGAGACTTTCACTTATAAAAGAAACAGTTACGTAAAAGACTATTCCTTTCTTATGCTGTTACTGATGCATTGAAAAAAATGATGCAAGGAAACAATCAAGTATAAATGCAAGGTAGAAAAGCTATTCCAAACAGTCAAGTTTGCGGATCATACGATTTTGGGGAAAAAAAGAGATAAGTAGAGCACAACTCAAACATAAAACAAACTTTAATGCTAATTCTAGATAGACAGTATTCATATTCATGTTTATGATTATGTTTGATAAAGAACTGGTTGTCACGTAACAGAAAACCATTAGTCAAATGAATTTAATCATACCTTCCTATCATAGCCATACCAAAGCAAGTGTTGCTTTGACAAATGCACCGGAAGAAGAAGTGTTGCATCACGAACAAAGAGTACAGGCCCAAGCTGGACAAGGAAGAGTGATGAATTGTCATTTCTAGATGTGGTACTGCCACTCGAAGCCTCTACTCTCCATAGATCTCCCCTTGCAAGGAAAGAACTTTCTAGCTGACGTGTTCTACTATCATAAGTTGTTGAGGTATTTATGCTCCCCTGCACTCCATAAGAATGACAAATTAAAAAATGCACATGTAGAAGTTTCAGGTGCTCTTTAGACCTTGCCTATGGTAAAAGTTTGACAAGCATCACCCGACCCAAAAAAAAAATGCAGCCTGTTATTGCAGCAATAACAAAATTGACAAACATATATAAATGTCAGGCACTCCTTTTTATCTCTGCTTGAAATTTGAGGAGAGAATAACGAGACAAACATATAAAATTCAAAAAAATGCAGCTAATTGTTTGAGGAATAAGTGATAACAACAAAGATGATGATCATAATCATACATATGATAACAACAATAATAACAAAATGAAAATGCTAAGATGAAAAACTTACCAGTGGTCTACCCAGAAGACCAGCGGACCTTAGATTCAAGCCAGCAAGTTCTTCATCCACCAAACCATCAGAGACACCATCACTCTCCACAACCCTGAAATCCTTCGAGCGTTCCTTCAATGGCCCCAAATCCTCCTTACCACTCAAACTCGCATCTGCTCTCTGTCTAACCTTATCCGAATCAATTCGCACAGCCACTATAGTAGCATTTTCATCATGCCTAAACGGTACCGGTAAGGTCCTAAAGAACTGTTGAACCATCCCATTCAAGCACGCCCCGAAATCCGCCCCGACTTGCCCGATCCTGTTACCGATATTGAGAATCGCGGAAACCCCATTAATCCCGGAGTTCTCGGCCACCAACCCAACAAAGTCTCTCTTGCCGAAACTCTGGTTCGGGAATTCGAGATCGAAGAGCTTCGACGTGTTAGGGTTAGGCCAAGCGAACGACGGCGTACTGATGTGGGACTGAATCAAACCCGTGAAGCCCTGCGCGAGGCGGTCCGCTAAGTCCTGGCCATGGCGCTGAACCTCCTCCCAAGCTTCGAAGGACCTCTCCACAGACATTTCAACAAAAGTCGAAAGCTTTTTGTGTTACTCCTCTGAAACAGTCACAACTTCTTCATGGCCCAGAAACAGTGAGATTTGGATTTGGATTTGAGCTTCTAATAATGGAAAACCAGAGCTTTCTTGAGTTTTGATAACATTTCAAGCTTGAAATTTGAGCTTTCGAGCTTAGAGTTTTCAATCTTAAATCGTAAAATAAAAATCCCAACCTGTTTGAGACTAGTAATGGAAAAAACAAATCTTTTCGAGCTTCTGATGATGTCAACCAGACCCAAAACCGTGAAATTACAATTCCCCGCTTGAAAATCAGAGCTTTCGAGCTTTTAGGGTTTTCAGTGGAAAAAAAATCCTGATTTTGAAAAGAGAAAACGATGTTTGTGAAGGGGGAAATTAGAACTTGAATCTTCTATAAGCTCTAAAGAATCAACTAAATATAAAATGAAAGGGCAGGGCCATTAGGGTTTTTGATTTGGGAATCGCAAGTTACCAAATAAGTGTGGAGTAGGAAATTAAGAGGGTATTGGTGGCCTGATAAATGCGCAGGGTGCGTAGTGCGTACAAGCTTCCGTTGATGCCACGCAAGCGGCAAAAGGATGTGTCATTTGTGTTGTGGGGATGTGTGGAGTTGAGGATAGAGGGGGGAATGTTGGTCCCCTGTTGGTGGATGTAGAGGCCGTCACTGACCAATGACAAATTTAATAAAGATTTAAAGTTTTAAAATTTAAAATATATGTTGACCCTTTGTTTAAGGTTGAACATTTGTTTGGGAAAAAGTTTGGTTCTGAAAATGTTATGGGTACCACATTTACGTAACACATTGTGTATTATATTATGAATTTTGCTTTTATTAGAGAAATGGTATATAAATATGATCTTCTTAATATTTTTCGTTTGAGAAATATAATGATTATTTTTCAAGTATAACGCTTGAGAAGTGTATGAAACATGTTATACGGAAGTTTTCTTCTATTAGCGAGGGCTATTGGTAGAAATGTTAATGTTGTTTTGTTATTTTATGCATGCAGACAGTTTCACTGCGTCGCTTAATATGGCCAGTGCATAATTAGGCAAGATAAAAAGTGCCTGAAGGATTTGAGACCAATTTTAAAAAACTAAAAAAAATAAAAATGCTTTTGCCTTGATATTTTCAAATCGTGATTTATATTCTACTGTTTATCGACAAATGTGGTGTGGTTGATGAATGAGTAAAGTTTTTGTACACGAGAATTTGCCAGACCAAGAACTTTGGATGGGGTCCCAATTTGTCTCTCTGTTTATTTTTTTCAACAAAAGCCTCTTTCTACAACATCTAGATGGTCCTCATCATGGTGAACTTTGCCAAAACCCCAAGGGCTTTCTTTGGTCAAAAGATAACATGCACCGGAAGAAGAAGTGTTGCATCACGAACAAAGAGTACAGGCCCAAGCTGGACAAGGAAGAGTGATGAATTGTCATTTCTAGATGTGGTACTGCCACTCGAAGCCTCTACTCTCCATAGATCTCCCCTTGCAAGGAAAGAACTTTCTAGCTGACGTGTTCTACTATCATAAGTTGTTGAGGTATTTATGCTCCCCTGCACTCCATAAGAATGACAAATTAAAAAATGCACATGTAGAAGTTTCAGGTGCTCTTTAGACCTTGCCTATGGTAAAAGTTTGACAAGCATCACCCGACCCAAAAAAAAAATGCAGCCTGTTATTGCAGCAATAACAAAATTGACAAACATATATAAATGTCAGGCACTCCTTTTTATCTCTGCTTGAAATTTGAGGAGAGAATAACGAGACAAACATATAAAATTCAAAAAAATGCAGCTAATTGTTTGAGGAATAAGTGATAACAACAAAGATGATGATCATAATCATACATATGATAACAACAATAATAACAAAATGAAAATGCTAAGATGAAAAACTTACCAGTGGTCTACCCAGAAGACCAGCGGACCTTAGATTCAAGCCAGCAAGTTCTTCATCCACCAAACCATCAGAGACACCATCACTCTCCACAACCCTGAAATCCTTCGAGCGTTCCTTCAATGGCCCCAAATCCTCCTTACCACTCAAACTCGCATCTGCTCTCTGTCTAACCTTATCCGAATCAATTCGCACAGCCACTATAGTAGCATTTTCATCATGCCTAAACGGTACCGGTAAGGTCCTAAAGAACTGTTGAACCATCCCATTCAAGCACGCCCCGAAATCCGCCCCGACTTGCCCGATCCTGTTACCGATATTGAGAATCGCGGAAACCCCATTAATCCCGGAGTTCTCGGCCACCAACCCAACAAAGTCTCTCTTGCCGAAACTCTGGTTCGGGAATTCGAGATCGAAGAGCTTCGACGTGTTAGGGTTAGGCCAAGCGAACGACGGCGTACTGATGTGGGACTGAATCAAACCCGTGAAGCCCTGCGCGAGGCGGTCCGCTAAGTCCTGGCCATGGCGCTGAACCTCCTCCCAAGCTTCGAAGGACCTCTCCACAGACATTTCAACAAAAGTCGAAAGCTTTTTGTGTTACTCCTCTGAAACAGTCACAACTTCTTCATGGCCCAGAAACAGTGAGATTTGGATTTGGATTTGAGCTTCTAATAATGGAAAACCAGAGCTTTCTTGAGTTTTGATAACATTTCAAGCTTGAAATTTGAGCTTTCGAGCTTAGAGTTTTCAATCTTAAATCGTAAAATAAAAATCCCAACCTGTTTGAGACTAGTAATGGAAAAAACAAATCTTTTCGAGCTTCTGATGATGTCAACCAGACCCAAAACCGTGAAATTACAATTCCCCGCTTGAAAATCAGAGCTTTCGAGCTTTTAGGGTTTTCAGTGGAAAAAAAATCCTGATTTTGAAAAGAGAAAACGATGTTTGTGAAGGGGGAAATTAGAACTTGAATCTTCTATAAGCTCTAAAGAATCAACTAAATATAAAATGAAAGGGCAGGGCCATTAGGGTTTTTGATTTGGGAATCGCAAGTTACCAAATAAGTGTGGAGTAGGAAATTAAGAGGGTATTGGTGGCCTGATAAATGCGCAGGGTGCGTAGTGCGTACAAGCTTCCGTTGATGCCACGCAAGCGGCAAAAGGATGTGTCATTTGTGTTGTGGGGATGTGTGGAGTTGAGGATAGAGGGGGGAATGTTGGTCCCCTGTTGGTGGATGTAGAGGCCGTCACTGACCAATGACAAATTTAATAAAGATTTAAAGTTCTAAAATTTAAAATATATGTTGACCCTTTGTTTGGGAAAAAGTTTGGTTCTGAAAATGTTATGGGTACCACATTTACGTAACACATTGTGTATTATATTATGAATTTTGCTTTTATTAGAGAAATGGTATATAAATATGATCTTCTTAATATTTTTCGTTTGAGAAATATAATGATTATTTTTCAAGTATAACGCTTGAGAAGTGTATGAAACATGTTATACGGAAGTTTTCTTCTATTAGCGAGGGCTATTGGTAGAAATGTTAATGTTGTTTTGTTATTTTATGCATGCAGACAGTTTCACTGCGTCGCTTAATATGGCCAGAGCATAATTTGGCAAGATAAAATAGTGCCTGAAGGATTTGAGACCAATTTAAAAAAACTAAAAATAAAAAAGCTATTGCCTTGATATTTTCAAATCGTGATTTATATTCTACTGTTTGTCGACAAATGTGGTGTGGTTGATGAAAGAGTAAAGTTTTTGTACACGAGAATTTGCCAGACCAAGAACTTTGGATGGGGTCTCAATTTGTCTTTCTGTTTGTTTTTTTCTTTCAACAAGAGCCTTTTTCTACCACATCTAGATGTCCTCATCATGGTGAACTTTGCCAAAACCCCAAGGGCTTTCTTTGGTCAAAAGATAAGAAAATGAAGATATTCAAAGCGACATATCTCTGTGTGGTCATTCCAATATCTTTAATTCTCAGTGGCAAACAGACAAATTCTCATATTAATAAAATTGTAAGAGGCACTTTTTTTTTCTATTTTTATAATAGCAAATTGTCATACAGAAAACATGCCAAACATAGACCAACAATGTCAAAGAATGTACAAAAGCCAATGGTAAAGAGAAGAGACACTCAATAATCTATTCACTCGTTGGAAAAGGTTTGACCATTTTGAGCAGCTATTAAGCCCCAATTCAATCCCCTTTGACCATTGAGCCATACCACTCCTTTCCAGTGAAATTTAGGTAATGAGAGACAATGACGAAATGGTTGTAAAAAAAAACTATCACACTCCTTGAAATAACTAACTAAATATGACTAAAAACTAGAAAGAAACAATCTAAAAAATAAATGAAAGAGAGCTACCAGTTGTGCTCACCTTGATTCCTTTTCCTTTATCTGGAATTGCAGAAACAAGGAATCAAAGTTCGTTCGATGACAAGTGATCGGTCACTTTGCGCAATCCTCTACCTGTAAATAATATGGTTCAAGTGAGCAAACAAATAATCCATTTGATCTAGCAAATCAAATGTACAGACCAACAGACCTGGTTCTTGAGCTCCCAAGAGTGAGCTCCAGATCATCTGATCCACACTCTTCGTGAATCCTCTCTCCTTCCCATGGCTTAACCAGCCCTGCTGTGTTGCATCCAAATGCAAACTCATCAGAAATCACCTCGGACATTGGAATGTCTGCGGTGTGATCAGAGCCGGCTGCAATGGCAGGTGAGCATGTCCCGCTTTGCCCCGGAGTCCACATGCGAGATCCACCACCAGCTGAAGCCTCATCCTTAAACCCAAATGGGTTCAAAGCGACAAGGCTAAATGTTGGAGAAGTTGGTCCATGGGGGATCCGAAGCCCAGCAAACCATTCTGGATCAGGAACAATCTGCCGTCCAGGGCTTGGTGGAGTAGAAGATGGCAGGAAGGAGTATTGCTGCCCACCCCACCCTGGGCGAGCAGACTGGTCATCCCAGTCAGTTTTCATTCGGGGTGTTCTGGCAGTTGGGGAGCTTAATGGAGGGGTAACAGGAGCACTGATAGAGCCACCATGGGAGCTTAATGGAGGGGTAACAGGAGCACTGATAGAGCCACCATGGATGTAGAGATTCGGTAGTTTAGAAGAGGTGGCTGAAGAGGATCCAGATGAGAGGTTTTTTAGCCATGGGATAAGGGACCTGCCATCGGCATTCTGATTAGCAGCATAGGAAGATGATGCCGGGCTTGGGAAGGAAGAAGAGCCTGGGCTTGGATTGTAGGAAGCACAAGTACTCGGGTGGTAAGACGAGCATGGGCTAGCTAGTGTCGATCCACCCACCACGTCCATGCGTTCAGCAGGCTTGCATCCCTGCACACATTTGAAGATGATAAGTTGCACATAACAAAAAACAAAAATAGATAATGAGGTTCAAGAGTAATTGCATGAAGCCATAGTCAGAGGTTCATAAAGAACAAATTAGGCTGATAACAAAGCAAATACAGAAGAACCCTCATCTGTTTCAGTCTTAAATGTATGTCCATATTCATAAGAAAATGCATATACATATACATCTGTTGCTTGTGTTTCACCTAATACAACAATAAATTGCTCTGTCACGTAGTTATTTTCCCATTCTTCAGGGTCATATCAAGGTGCCAGCTTGGGCGCTAGCACCTACAGGCTACAGTTTTCTTTTAGGGAGAAAAGGAATATATCACTGAATCAAGTAATGATATCATATGCAGGGATAAGAGTCATAAGACACATTCCCAGTTGGTGGCAACCTTCATTTCTCTTGCAATACCGTGAGGACACCTAAGCAAAGTGGTGTCCTAAAAATTTCAGGTATAACAGTCAACTATACCATTATCAGATCACTCTGAGTTGCCAGCCATATTTACTCTACTTCCCAAGCGATGTAAAATCCAAAGCAACCATGATACCTTCTAGAAACAATGTGCCAGCAACATCCTATGATGCAGAAAAGGCAGATGTGGAGGCATGAATCTAAAATTGAATTAATCAAGGGGAAAAATTGACCCCAAGTTGCTGACTTAACACCACTACCATGACTTGACTCCAAACCATAGTGGGAAAATTTCAACACCTAACCAGTATTGCCTCTAGGGGAACCATTTCAATTAACCAACATTTTCGATGGTTTGGTGACTGAACTCAATTACACATGTAAGGTGCAATTATATGTACACACCAAATTACTCTATATAGGCATTTTGTTTCCTTTCCGTTGGAACTCTTGCTATTACCGTAACACCAAACGAAAAATAGTAGCTGGATTTATAAGCAATTTTGTTTGTGACTGAACTCAATTACACATGTAAGGTGCAATTATATGTACACACCAAATTACTCTATATAGGCATTTTGTTTCCTTTCCATTGGAACTCTTGCTATTACCGTAACACCAAACGAAAAATAGTAGCTGGATTTATAAGCAATTTTGTTTAAAAGATAATAGAAAGCTTTTATTAAAGGTAGAGGAATTAACAAAGGATGTATAGTTGTAATGTACCATATAAAAACAAACAATGTGACTATGACTCTAAAAAGAGGAAGGTATTAACTTTTAATAACTGTGAGTTATGAACTTGTGATAAGAAACGAAATCTCCAAAGTGGAAAACTGAGCACAACCCAGAAAAGGCTCTGCCTGTGTTCTCCTAAACAAAGTAAAAGGTTACTAACCAAATCTATCAACACAGAAAAAGAGATCAGAGTTCACTAAAATGGCACACAAGTACCCCTCAAAAGCCTCGAATTTCCACACCCAAGTGGGTATTTTGGGCCGCAAATTTTGAAAAAGAAGAATTAAAAAGGGTATCTTCGTCGCCTCGAGATCTACGTAGTTACAGGGATTGCAGATTAACAGTCATCGGGAGCCAAAGAAATCACAGAGAGAATCTAGTGCTTCACGCGGAAAAGCGATCATACAAAGAAAGCAAAAGTAAAAGAAAGAAAGAAGAGCTAAAGGCTTAAAGCCAACAAACAAAATAACAGAGCTGACTAGACCTAACGTACACCGGTGACCGAATCTAACCCCACTGATTGTTTACCCCGGCTAATGTGCGCCAGGAACACTAGCGCATCTTAGCAAAACAGGCCGTTTTGCCTCGACTCCAGACAGCGCCCCGGCCAGCGTGGGCCGCCGCATCCGGCGTACGTTAGATACTTAATGCGCCACTAGGCAGCATGATCAAAATTCCTAACCAACCCCTGTTATCGTGCACCGCTCGTTCAGCGCATGTTAGCACTCCCGCTAACTGCGCCGTCCGCCGGAGCTAAAAGCCTAACGATAACTACTGTTCGAATTCAGCCATTTGTTTAAGTTTGTCTAAGAATCAATCAACCGCGGTAAAAATTTATCGGAAGAAAAGATATTGATAGTGTATACTGCTAATGAACAATTTAACAACGGTAAACTAAGAAATTGAGTTTTGTTTTTTTTCCTTTTCACCTTGCGGTAAGTGGTGCCGTCCGGTTCGACGGTCCAACCGGCCTCGTCGCAGAGAGCTTTGAGGACCTCATTATTGTCGCAGTGCTTGGGGAGCTTGTAGTTCCCGTACATTCTCAGACCGGCGAAGATCTTCGCCGCTATGGCTCTTCGCCTTCTCTCTCTTCTCTTGTTGTTCTCTCTCTCCTTCCACGTCGGCATACGCGTCCCGTACGTCATCTCCGATCAGTCTCTCGTCTCTGGAACGCCGCCCGCACCGCAACGACGCCGTTACGCGGGGAATGTGAGCTGAGAGCTGAGATGAAAGTATGTGAATTTGGAGCCTTCGGAACCTGAGAGAAGCTCCGGCACGGACGATAAGTTTGGGGGAAGAATTGGAGTGAATTCGACTCGGCCGGAGACTTGAATTTCGTGGAGGATCACTGAATCAGATCGGATCCTTGTGCGATCGAGTCGGGTTAGGAGGCTGACGGGAAAGCGGTGTCGAAATCGGAAGTGGAGAAGCTGTGTGTTTCTTACTTTTGATGAAACCCCGGGAAAATGAGAAGTGAAAGCAGCATGAAAATGTGTGGGGTTTGTATAAATGAGAGAATTTTGGGGAGGACTTGTATTTGGTCCTATTTAATCGTTATTTTACGACCCTGCCATTATTGCTCTCAGGCGGGAGAGAAAGGGAGGGAAGGAGGAGGGTATTTGGCTTTTTGGTCCATGCATTAGTTGAAAAAGAAAAAGAAACGCAAAAAAGGAAATATGGAAACGTACACATTTTTTCGTTGGCCAAATATTCTGAAATTTGATGGTGATTTTTACAATGGGACCCGTTTTGTCTGAGGAGGGAAAAAAATGGGGCCCTTTAATAATTTATTGGCTCATTGTCTTTAATTTTGTTTGAGTTGCGTACAAAAATGATAGAGAGAGAACGTGATAGTAGAACAGCAATATTCGTTAGCAGACAATTTGGATTATTGAAATATAATGTCGATTGCTTCTAGGATAGCGATACCTATACTATTGTTTTACTTACGTACCCTCCGAATCGAATATATTTAAAATTCTTTTATGTATTCACAAAAGAAGCTCGAGAGGTTACAAAAATGGTGTCAGTGTGATTAGGGTACAAAACAAATTTACTCAGCATCGGATCGGAGGGTAACACCTGGCAACTGCATGCACATGGCACTTCTCATACATGACAATTACGTCGACCCCAAAACGATGACGTTATAGGAGCGTTCCCTTCCGAGAGAAAGAAAAAAAAAACCGATTAAGCGTTACGGGAGATGAACCTAATTTTACAACCGTCTCTGTGACAAACGCTGCATCGCTCGACACGTGTCCAGGCTCTGCGCTCCGGCCCCGTAACCGTCCCTGTCTACGACAGTAAACCCATTCGTCGTTTTTGTATTCATTATTTTTCGTTTACAAATGAGCAAATAATCTTGCACGTGTCAGAGTCCGGCTCACGTGTCAGGTTCTGGGACCAGCCTCTGAGTATGCGTCATGCGTGGACAGCACTTTCACGTGGCCCCACGCCAACAACAACCACCCTGGGGGCCCCACTCTGTAACGGGAGCACGTGTAAAAATCAAGCTGAGAGACCAGTCCAGCGCTCTTCCTTCCTAGTGTTATTTTTCTTAAATTAATTTTTATTAATTAATTAATCTTATAAAAAGTATGCATTTGGAACAGTGTTACAAGTCCAAATCATTCATTCAGAGATTACATTTGATAATGATAAAACTTGCCGACCACTCTATTACCCCACTTATTAAATCCAGCATTTTGACTTGCAAAAGAGTAGTTAAGGGACAAAGTCAACCACCCCCCTAAATTAATATACTCATCATTCATTCATGCATCTCAGAGGGGAAGCACTGATCCTGGGATTTGGTCTCTAAACATTTTTAAAATATAATACCAAAGACAGTCTAGAGCTCAAGAGAACCCAACTGCTGTTTCTGAACAGAATATATGGTCGGTGAGATATGAGATTCCAGGACGCACTGGTGACCAGAGGAAGCAAGCAAGAACTTTGATGAAACTATGTTCATAAAACCAGTAAAAATGCATGCAAAAATGTAACTGTGTGCAAGCAAACCCAAATGTAAGACTGAAGGTGGTATACAAAATCTGTTGAGGGATTTAAGAATGTGTTAAGGATTTGTGGTTCATCCAAGATAACAGTTTCACATTAATATGGGGAAAGTCACCTTGGAGATATGCATTATTCTTGGCATCAGGTTGAGCATTGATCAAGACAAGGATATAGAATACGAAGCACCACATAGTCTCTTTAATCGAATTCCAGGACCTGTGCAAACCCGCTACGGAGGGTGAAAACTTTACCCAAATTGGGTTGGATTATTTCAGATCCCCCACATGTGCACCCTATATAAAAGGAACAAGGTTCAGAAGAAAAGGAGTCTAAATTGGAACCAAAAAAACGCAATGACTGAAAATAATAAGCCTCAACCTACCTTGAACAACGTTGTGCAAATCGTAAATTTGCCTCATGAAGTGGTTTTGCTTAGCCTCAACATCTCCTTGAGCAATCGACTAACAGAAGACTTTACTTCATCAGACACAACCAGCTGTGGAGGCACAGCATCCAGAGCATATAAAGTGATAGTATTCATAACATCAGCCAGAACCAAATTCTTGGCGCCTCCATTCCACACATTCTGATTCACAAAGTTGCATGACTGTTTTAAGACACATTTGCTACAAACCTGAAGGTGACCAAAAACACAAAACAACAAATTTATACAATATTTAAATTTATTGAGTGAAATGAAGTCAGTGTGAGAGCGAAAAACTAATAGGACAATTGACTCACAGTATGTTCTTGAATTTCAAAAAATTTACGCAATCTTTTAGCACCGAAAACACTCTTTCTTGCAAGGGAAGGACAACCAACAAGGGCCACCTTTTTCAAATCAGAGCCTGACAACCATCTGAAAACAAAATTTCAAGAGCAGATGGAGATTACTGATTAAGAGACTATCAAATTAAGAGAAATACCAACAAAAAATGAAAAAAAAAACTACACATTCCAAAAATAAATCAACTTGATGAAACCATGAAACCAAGAACTCATAAACTTGAATCCATAAAACTCAAATGTAAATCTTGATGTTTAAAGCAGGATGTCAGATTGTCTAAATGGTTCCCGTACTTCTTAGGGCTGCTGGATGGTGCACGTAGGAAAACGAAAAGATTGTTTGAAATCATCTTTTATATTCTTTCTTCCTAGGTCTCCACTGTACGATTTCTCAACTCAATCATCAAGCAGTACCAAATTAGTCTCACTAAAGACAATCTGGTGAAGATTAGACATTGTATGTAAAGTGTAGTCCTAAATTGGTAGTGAAATCACATAATTTGTGGTTTCTCCCAGTCAATGTGCTAGAAGATATAGCTCCCTATTGATCCCAATATACTTACATCATGGAGTACACTTTCATACTCATAGTACAGCCAACTGAATGCCAATCATGAACCCGTGGACTTCTAAAGAATTAGCATAGCTTCCTTGGCAAAAAAGTAGAACATTGACATAAACCTTTTCAAAGGTATGCAGATCGAAACAACGAATAGTAAATTGTGACATTCTCTACTTCTAATAACAGTGTATAAGTTACATATCCTTTGGAAAATTGAAAACTAAGAAGTGTAATAATGAGAAATGATGGAAATCCCCATAAGCTCAGTTCCGCGGCTAAAAATCTCCCATTATAATATAAATTGTGTCATTCTCTACTCTCTTTATAATTTACATATTAAAATGTTTAAAGCTTCAGCCGGAAAGATTCAGAAACAAAAGCCTTTCACTCATAGAGACAACTGAGACAATTGATTGCATTTGCATCATATGAGATGAATGCTACATTACCAGAAAACTGGGAAAAGAAAACCAATTTACCAGGAATTGAAAGAAACATTGGACAATAACTATAAAATGTAGACCTTCATAGTCACTTCTTTTTCCTCCAACATGAAAACACACAGAAGAAAATAGAGCTAAGAAATAAATCTAAAAAAGAATGGAATTAAAAACAGAATCATATAAAAATGCTTACTTTGCAATCACTTGGTTGTCTTTGGCAAACCTCTCCACCGCAAACTTTACAAAACCGCGGCCATAGCTATTGTTAAAGCAACTATAATCCAACCTACCCTCATTCACAGACAAGAAATTGGCATCGTTAAAGTACCCTTCTTTGTACAAATGGCTCACAACCACTTCCATATCCTGCGACAAAGCCTTAAACACATTTGATCGCTCTCTTGTCAACTCTGTCCATTTCCTTTCATCCCCCGCCGCCGCCTTATTTGTGAACAAGGCGTATAAGCTGACCTTAGCCTTAGAATTCTTGGGTTCGACTTCACTCTTCTTCGCTTTGTTTTCGCCATTCGAATTCAATTTCAATCTCTTTACCTCTTTCTCCAACTCCCTCAAGCTCTTCTTCAATGGGCTGTCTTCGGTTTCACCTTCGCTTTCGGAGTTTTCGGGTTGTGGTGATAGTTCTACGGCCTCTTTGAAGACAAGGTCTAAAGGCTTTCTGGGTTTGGTTTGGTTTTCAGTCTGGTGTGAGCTATAGATTCTCTGGAAGATGGAGGAGAATGAGAAAGGTTTGCGGGTTATTTGGGAAATGGAAAAAGGGTTTTGGGGTTTAAGGAGAGAGTAGGAGTGGTGGTGGGAAAAGAGGGCTCTGAAGGGAGACATGGGTGATGGGTTTTGGGGGTTTAGGCCTTGGAGGGTTTCGTTGGGGCATAATATAAAGCAAGGGGCTCTTGACTGACATACATCCCGTTGAAGAATTAAGATTTAAGTACTAAAATATTCCTTTAAAAAAAAACAAAAAATAGAGTGCTAAAACATTATATTTCTCACTGGTGATGAAATGGTAAAGAGATGAGCATGAAACAAGTCGTAAATTCCAATTCTGAGTTTCATGTACAAAAGCTTAATCAAATTGGCTACAGGGTGTAGAGTACACCCGAGTTCGAATCCCGCTCCCCGTAATTTATATTAGATTGAAGTAGATTATCGCTTGTTGACAAACAAAAAAAAGTGGGTTTGGACTTCTGGCTTGAGGAAGCCAACCTTTTGTCTATCTCTCAATTCAATATAAGAGCTCTGCTATTTCAAAGTTACAGAAGCTAAACAAAGTGGATAGGAAACTTATGCAACGGAAAACAAACAACTGCAAATAGGCTCATCTTAATATCAACAAAAAAAAGGCTACTAAATATTACAATTTTGATAACATAATACTTTTCGTCCAAAAGAAATAAAAGATAACAGAATCCTTCTAAAACCCAGAATTGGACTTTTCAATACAATTGTTGCAAAAGCTAGAAATTGCATCTCAGAAAAATTCAACTCGACAAGTCCTCGAACCCCTCTGAATCAACTCAAGTTCCTTGTCTAACTCCTCTCTTCTACACAGCAAATCACCAGCATAAATAGTCACCTTATTCAGAACTTTACCCTTCTCTAACAAATACTTCGCCGCTTCCATCTCATCAGAGTCTCCCTTGAATCCACTTATGGTGATACTCTTGAGGTGGGCGGACAAACAAACAGGCACGGTCTCTGGTGTATTCCATTCATGGTTGAAGTATTCCGCTGAGTATTCTTCATCCTCCGAGTATTCTTCATCCTCTGAGTATATAGTACACGCACCCTGACACTAAAAGAATGAATGAAATGAGCACAGTTAAGAGCTGCATGTTAGTATCACGCAGCAAAAGGGGAAATAAATCTTACTTCATTATGTTCTAAGACAAGATATTCCAAATTAGGCGATCTCTTGAGCAGCTCTGTTAGCAATTCCCAATCGTAGCAATTATGAAGAACCAGCTTCAATTCGCTCAAATTATCAAAAGCAGGCACACTACAAGCCTTTGTAAAAGATAAAGTATCGATCAAACATAAACTCTTGCAGAAAATAAACATTGCTCGTGCACAACATACTATTTCAAATCATAAATTGCCAAACTGAAAAACAGGCTTTCAGTTACAAACTATGTCTGGTACACATAAAGATTAATATGATTGAAAGATAGGGTAAAAGGAAAGGAAAAATGCAAGATGCAAGGATGGTGCATCCCTAGTATAGTTTATATCATGGAAGGAAAGGTGCACAACGTTTTCTCATTTGTTTTGTAGGTGTTAGGGTTCTTTATATAATTACAGTTCTATTTCTTCATTTTCGTTCCAAACCTAAACCAAATTACTAAATTCATTTCTTTCATTCCTTTCTTTTATCCAACTCTGAAGGGATTTAAAAGATGGGCCTGTATGCATGCCTCACAACTCCAATTTTCCACATTACAAACAAAGGGAATACATACCTTTCCTTCCACTCTTCCGACCACCCCTACTTTCTTTCCTACAGTCCTCTCTACCAAACAATATGAAAGGAACAAGTCAGGGCATGCTTACCTTCAACGAATGAGCTGAAAGAGACAAATATTTAACATTGGAAATTCCTGCCAGAAGCGCACTTGAAAGCTTAGAGAAGTCGAGCTGTAAACACGAATCATGTGAATAGAGATTAACAATGGCTTTGACCAGGGACTTCGCATTCTTCACAATGTAATTTGACAAACGACCCTCCCTGACATCAAGTTTTTCAAGCTTTGGAGCATTTATAGAAAAACTGTTCTGAGGAGAACAATCTTCACCACGTAAACTTAATCTTAATGTCTTCAATTCAGGCGCAGAGATGTAAACATCTGCATCATGTCCAACAACTCCATCTATAGTCAAATCTTCAAGTACAGGGCAGCAAGAAAAAAACTTTTCCATTGATTCATCATCAGGATAATCGACTGTAACATGGAGGAACTTGAGACTTGGGAAACACCCTGACTTAGGAGGAACATATCTAAGACAATCTGAATTTAGCTTCAAAACCACCAGTGTTTTGGACATGAAAAAGCTTTCAGGCAACTCAAAAATCTGGTAATCGGACTCGGAGTGAACACGAAGATCAAATTCAACAGCATTACAGTCAATAGCAGTGCGAATCCAACCATCAATACGAGAGAAATCCTCAACACCGGAACAACAAAGACGAAATTTATGAATGTCGGCTGAGTCACGAAAGGAAAGTACACGATCGACAAACATCGAGAAAGAGTCATCCCTCTCTATCCAGGGATCGTATTCGTCGTCGAAGTCTTGATTGAGAACAGAAGCCCACCATATGTTCTTCCATCTTGTAGACAGAATGCTGGTTCTCACAGCAAGTTTCGTTGGAAGGAAGGAAAGTATGTGACAAAGAACTGCATCAGGTAATTCACTGATCCAATCTTTAACTACTGCTTGCGGCTTTGGCTTCTTTTCCAGTATGAGAGGCTTTGACTGCGAACCCATTTTTGTCACTGTACATTTTGATGAAAAATTAAAAACAAAAGGCAAAAACTCCTAATGTAGGCATGCAATTCTGTTAATTGATCTTCAAAAATATCATGAAATTCTAGTTTCTAGAGAGAAGTTTTTCAAGGGATCCAAACAGCCCAAAGAAGAAAATAATCAATGGAACCAGTTTTGGGAAACTATATTCTACCTAGAATTAGCAATTGAAAAGAAAGATTATATTTTCTTCACTGATAAACACCGCAAAAGGAGAAAGACTTGAATTTTCTATTTAATCATGTCCCTGTTTTCTCGGTAACCAAACAGATGGTAACGAAGCCAAAGGGTTACGAAGAAAAGTACCTGTAACGTTGTGAGTTGGTCCAGTATTTTTGATTGTTGAGAAACCGCGGGGAAAGCTAATGAGAACAAGAAGAGCATCGAAACGACAGCGTTTTAGCAGTCTCTGCTGCACCTATGAAGTGCGAACCTTCCAGGCTTCTTTCCAATCCACTGTTTCAGAAAACTCACCCTAAAGTATTGCTCATTCTCTCTCTCTCTCTCTCTCTCTCTCTCTCTTTTTTATTTTTTGGTTTAATTTATTAATTTATTAATTAATTTACCTTTTTGATTTCTTTGGTTGATGTGGGGTACAGACGGAGGGGCCTAGCCTCTTGGGCTTTTTTCTTTTTTGGTTTTCGTGATGTTGTCTGAACCTCTTTTTTCTTTGAGAAATTTTTCTGGACAACATATAAATTTGACTGTATCAACGGGGTCTAATCCAGTGGATTGCATACGGGTGATTTAAGGTTCAAAACTTACCACGCCTTAGTAGTGCATGTGTAAGAAACTATTATTCTCCTTATAATTTAGACAGTCACTTGTATTAAAATAAATAAATTTGACTTTGCCAAAAAACTTTTTATTTTTAAAACTGTTTATGTTTGCAATTGCTAGCCTATGTGTAAACATTGTGGTTTTTATGCTAATTTGCTAGTCTTCATAACCACTCCCAATTGAATCTTATTTTATTAATAGGAGTTTGGTTTTTGTGTTATTTTACTTGTCGGAGGATGATTTTAATTTGGAACCTCTCTCAACAAAATGGAAATAAATATATCGCTAGATCAATAGCTAATTTGTAGATTTGGTTTGTTAATTGTTTAAATACAAATACAAACACAAACAGGAAAGGTAATTCTGCGTGTTTACACTTGGCTCCTAAATGATTTGTCATGAGGTACTCCTCCATTGCAGATTAACCATCTTCAAAGAAGCTAAACAAGTGGATAAGAAATTTATTCAGTGGAAGAAAAATACTGCAAATAGATTCATCTTAAGATCAACAAACAAGTTTCTTAAATTTGCAACTTTCAAAGCAGAATCCTTCTAGGACAGAATTGGACTTGCAAAATAAAATCGTTATAAAAGCTAAAAATTGCATCTTGTATAAATTCGATTCTTTCTAAAACCCAGAATTGGAATTAGTAAACATAATCGTTGTCAAAGCTAGAACCTGCTTCTTCGATAAATTCTACCTGGCAAGTCCTTGAACCCCTTTGAAACATTGAAAATTCCTTGTATATCTTCTCTTTTGCAGGCAGAAAATCACCTGTATAAATAGTCATCTTACGCAGAACTTCACCATTCGCTAACAAATACTTTGCCGCTTCCCTCTCATGCAGGTGCCCTTGGAATCCCCTTATGGAGATAGTCTTGAGGTGTGACAGCAAACATATAGGCACAAAGTCTGGGGTATTCCATTTTTCAGCATTGGAGCATCCATCCTCTGAGTATTCTACCTTTGAGGATCCATCCTCTGAGTATTCTTCGTCCGAGCATATACATTCTTCGTCCTGACAATCATTTAAAAGAATGAATGAAATGGGAACCTTATAGATCTGCTGTTGATATCACATAACATGAGTAGAAATACATCTTACGTTTTCATGTTCTAAGAATAGATGTTCCAGATTAGGTGATCTCTTGAGCAACTCTGTTAGCAAATCCCAGTTGTAGCAATCATGAAGAACCAGCTTCAATTCGTTCAAATTATCAAAAGCAGGGACACAACAAGCCTTCAAAACAGATGAAGTATTCATCAAACATAAGTTGCCAAAATGGAAACAGGATTTCAGTTACGAACACTATGTTTGGTACAAATAAAAAAAAAGATCGATAAGGAAAATCGTAAAAGAAATAGAATAGAGTGTTGGCATATTACCATGGGTCCAGCCCATGATGGAAATGGTCCAGTCAAAAGGAGACTTGTTACGTGGTGTTTGGAATATCGTAGAGGTTTCTGGAGTTGCACATGCTTTCGGTGTATGGGTTCTCTCCCTAGTGAAGGATTATCTCTTGTAATGATGGTGTCTTTTGTAATGATGGGAAGACATCATCATATGCCTTTAATGATGATGTCTTGGGGAGCCTTCTCTTTGCTATACGTGGGTTGTTTTGAAGATAAAATTCAGCCCTCTTTCACTTGCCTATATAAAGGGCATGCAAGTGTGCATGCGTGAGAATGAGAGATAGAGTTGTGTTAGTCTTGTGTGCTGCACCAGAGTTGGAGAAGCCGAGAGCAAGAGAGAGAAGTGAGAGAACGCCATCCAAACAGCCACCAGTATTCCACTCCAATTTTGTGAGAGAGAGAGTTAATTGTGTACCACTCCAAGTGTGTGTGAGTGAGGTAAAAACAGGAGAGTATAGTGTGGTGTCATTGTACTTTCTCTGTGTGTATCATCAAGCCCTGGGCATTGGCTTGGTAAGATCTTTCTTGTTGTACCCATTATTTGTTATAGTGGAAGAAGTTTATATTGCTGCCCCGTGGATGTAGCCATTACCGAACCACGTTAATTTTCGGTGTTCTTTATTTTTCTGCTTATATTGTTGTTTGAGTTGTGAAGATCCCCATTCTAGCACTAACCGATCCTAACAAGTGGTATCAGAGCCGGAAGCAATTCCGCGCCGTGAATAGTGCCATGAACAGTGCTGTGAATAGTGCCATGAATAGTGCTCATGAACAGTGCCGTGAATAGTGCTCGTGAACATAGTGCAGAATGGAAGGAAGCTCTATGATCAAACTCAACAACTCCAATTGGGTGACCTGGAAACCAAGGATGGAGGATATTCTTTACTGCAAAGACCTACATGAACCAATTGAAGGTGCAAAGGCCAAGCCAGCAACAATGTCTGATGCCAAATGGACAAAGTTGAACCGTAAAGCTATCGGCAACATTAGACAATGGGTGGATGACAGCGTGTTTCACCATGTGTCTAATGAAACAGATGCGCACTCTCTTTGGGAGAAGCTTGAATCCTTGTTCAAGAAGAAGACCGCAGCCAAGAAAGCCTTTTTGATCAAGGAGCTCATCAATATGAAGTACAAGGATGGCTTGAGTGTGACGGAGCACCTGAACAACTTCCAGAATCTGGTCAACCAATTGGCAACTATGAAAATGACGATTGACAGTGAGTGGCAAGCTTTTTTGTTGTTGGGTTCCTTACCAGATAGTTGGGAAACCTTTGTGGTGACTGTAAGTAACTCTGCTCCCAATGGTGTTCTTACTGTAAATAGTGTTAAAAATAGCATGTTTAATGAAGAAACAAGGAGAAAAGTTTCAGGGATCGAAAGCAGCCAGGTACATGTGACAGAAAACAGAGGAAGAAGCAAGAGTAGAGGGCCAAGAGGTCGTGGAAAGAACCCAAGTCGCTCCAGATCAAGATTTAGAGGAAGCTGCCATCATTGTGGCAAAGAGGGCCATATGAAGAAGCATTGCCGTGCATGGAAGAAACTGCAAAACGAAGGTCACAACCAAAGGAGAAATGAAGGCAACAACCAAAAGAGAGAAGAAAGCAACAACACCGCAGCAGTCTTAAGCGGCAATGAAACTGAGATTCTCTCTGTTGAAGAATGCCTAAACATGGGTCATCATGATCAAGGCACCGAATGGATTTTTGACAATGGCGCTTCGTTTCATGCCACTTCCGAAAGAGAGTTCTTCAGTACATACAAGGAAGGAGATTTTGGCATAGTAAAGATGGGAAATAATAGCTACTCCAAAATTCTTGGAATTGGTGATATCTGTCTCGAGACTAATCTTGGATGCCAGTTGCTGCTGAAAGATGTGAGACACGTTTCAGAGCTGCGTCTCAATCTGATATCTGTTGGTGTTCTTGACCGACAAGGTTTTGAGCATTATATTGGCCAAGGAAAATTAAAGCTTACCAAGGGCTCTATGGTGATTGCTAGAGCAAATCTTTGTAGCACCTTATACAGGTCATATGCCAAAGTCTGCAAAAATGAGTTGAACCCAGTGGAGGACTCTTCACCAGAATTGTGGCACAAGAGGTTAGGCCACATGAGTGAGAAAGGCCTACAAGTTTTGGCAAAGAAGTCTTTTATTCCCTTTGCCAAAGGTACGCATAAAAATTCCTGTGAGTTTTGTTTATTTGGAAAACAACATAGAGTTAGTTTTTCTACACCATCTACAAAGAAAGAAAATTTGTTGGAACTGGTTTACTCTGATGTGTGTGGTCCCATGGAAGTGGAGTCACTAGGAAGGAATAAATATTTTGTTACTTATATTGATGATGCTTCACAAAAGGTTTGGGTGTATTTGTTGAAAACCAAAGACCAGGTGTTCCAGACATTCCAGGAATTCCATGCCATGGTAGAGAGAGAAACCAGGAGATCTCTCAAGTGTCTCCGCAGCGATAATGGTGGAGAATATACATCTCAACAATTCAGAGAATATTGTGCAAAGCATGGCATAAGGCACGAGAAGACAGTTCCTGGTACTCCACAACACAACGGTGTAGCTGAAAGAATGAACCGAACCATCATGGAAAAGGTCAGGTGTATGCTGAGGACTGCAAAGTTATCCAAGCAGTTTTGGGGTGAAGCCGTGATGACAGCCTGTTATCTGATCAACAGATCCCCATCAGTTCCCTTGGGCCTTGATGTTCCAGAAAGAGTGTGGACTAGAAAAGATGTGTCTTACTCTCATCTAAAGGTGTTTGGATGCAAGGCGTTTGTGCATGTGCCCAAGGAGCAAAGATCAAAGCTAGATTACAAGGCCACACCGTGCGTCTTCCTTGGTTATGGTGGTGAAGAATTTGTCTACAGATTGTGGGACCCAAAGGCAAAGAAATTCATAAGAAGCAGAGATGTGATTTTTTATGAAGATCAAACACTAGCAGACCCTGATGAGAAGGCTCAACCTGAAGCTGTGATTAAAGAGGCTGTTGACCCATTAATTTCAGATAGAGAAGCACATGGTGACATGCCAGAAGAAGCTGCTGAAGGGACATCAGAGATTATTGATCAGGGGGAGCCTGATCATGAAGAGCAAAATACTGATCAGGGGGAGCCTGATCAGGAAGAGCGAAATGATGAGGAACTTGATCAGGGGGAGCATTCAGCCTTACAAGAAACTGAAGCTCAGCCTAGAAGATCCACCAGGAATAGACATCCAACTACCAAGTATCCTTCATCGGATTATATCCTGCTGACAGATGATGGAGAGCCCGGGACGTATAAAGAGGCCATAGATCACAAAGACAGTAACAAATGGTTGAAGGCAATGGAGTCTGAGATGGATTCCTTATTGAAGAATGATACTTATGAGGTGAAGCTACCGGAAGGGAGAAAGGCACTCAAAAACAAATGGGTATTCAAACTGAAAAAGGATGAGCAGATGACAAAGTACAAGGTAAAGGAATTGTAATTCTCAATTACTGAAAGAATAGTTTGTACAAGCTTTATATTAAATTACAATGATGAGCTGTCAAATACAGCTGTATAAGATTAGTTACAGATGGCTAACTAACTAACAAACGATTTACTGCCTTTAGCCCCCCTCAAGCTGAAGGGAGGAGAACGCACTGTGAGCTTGGTGCGAAGAAGAGAATGTCTGGCAGCAGATAAAGGTTTGGTAAAGATATCAGCAAGCTGATGTTCAGAGGAAACAAATTTAATAGACAAGAACCTTTGTTGAACCAACTCCCTTGTAAAGTGATAATCAACCTCCACATGTTTGGTCCGGGCACTAAACACTGGATTAGAAGCAAGATGAATGGCAGATTGATTGTCACACCAGAGAAATGGAAGAGAAGGTAACTGAAAACCAATGTCTTTGAATAACTTGGACAAATAGAGCAACTCAGCAGCAGTCATAGCCAGACCACGATACTCAGCTTCAGTAGAACTGCGAGACACTGTCGGTTGTTTCTTAGCTGACCAGGAAATTAAATTTGAACCAAGAAAGATACACCACCCACTGGTAGACCTCCGATCAATAGGACAACCAGCCCAATCAGCGTCCGTGAAGGCTTGCAAACCAAGAGAACCCTTAGTAAACCAGACCCCCATGTCAATAGTGCCTTTGAGATAACGAAGAATTCGTTTAACAGCACCCAAGTGATTTGAACGAGGCTGATGCAAGTGCTGACAAACAAGATTAACAGCATAGGATAAGTCAGGTCTAGTCCAAGTAAGATACTGAAGGGCACCCACAGTAGAGCGATAGAAAGTAACATCTTCAAGAATATCCCCAGAATTATCCAACTTGGAAGAACCAAGGGGAGTAGAACAAGAAGCAGCCCCAAGAAAATCTGTCTTCTTGAGAAGATCACAAGCATATTTAGTTTGAGAAAGAAATAGACCTTGGGCAGATCGTGTGACCTCCAAGCCAAGGAAATAGTGTAAGGGACCAAGATCCTTAACTGGGAATTTGGCACTGAGATGAGAAATAAGAGAGGTACAAGCTGTGTTGCAGTTTCCAGTGACCAAAATATCATCAACATAGACCAAAACAAGAACAAGAGAAGCACCACTTGACTTAATGAAAAGAGAAGAATCTGCCTGAGAAGATCGAAACCCCAGAGAAACCAAGGCTTTGAACAATTCATCATACCACGCCCTAGGGGCCTGTTTTAAGCCATACAAAGATCTATTGAGCTGACAAACAAAATGAGGCCTAGTAGGATCAGCAAAACCAGGGGGCTGAGACATAAAAACATTTTCCTTCAAAAAACCATGAAGGAAAGCATTACTCACATCTAATTGATTTAAGAACCAATCATATTGGACTGCCAGAGAAAGAAGAAGTCTGATCGTAGTAGGTTTAGCCACAGGGCTGAAAGTTTCATGAAAATCCAAGCCTTCTCGCTGATGATACCCCTTAGCAACCAAACGAGCCTTGAATTTGTCAACAGTACCATCAGGTTTAAACTTAGTGCGAAAAACCCACTTAGAACCAACTAAATTCTGAGATGGAGATGGAGGGA